CACGAGATTCACTTTTACACATCTTTCTAACACCATTTCTAAGTTCGATAAGCATCCTTCAAAGCTCTGCCCGCATACAGAGAAGTCGTCCATGAACACTTCCATGATGTTGTCTATAAAATCTGCGAAGATTGACATCATACATCTTTGAAAGGTTGCAGGAGCGTTGCATAATCCAAAGGGCATTCGCCTATAAGCGAACGTTCCATAAGGACATGTGAATGTAGTCTTCTCTTGATCATCAGGATGGATAGGGATTTGGAAAAATCCTGAGTATCCGTCAAGATAACAGAAGTAAGAATGCTTGGCTAATCGTTCCAACATTTGATCTATGAAAGGTAATGGGAAATGATCTTTTCGAGTGGCTTTGTTTAGTTTATGATAATCTATGCACACTCTATATCCCGTCACTACTCTTTGCGATATCGATTCGCCTTGTGCGTTTTTCACCACAGTGATACCTCCTTTCTTTGGCACTACATGTATTGGACTAACCCATTCACTATCAGAGATTGGATATATTATCCCGGCATCTAATAATTTCTTGACTTCGTCTTTTACTACAGTGCTAAGGGTTGGGTTTATTCTTCTTTGAGATTCTCTGGAGGTTCTGCAATCTTCTTCAAGCAGAATGCGATGCATGCAAACTGAAGGACATATTCCTTTGAGATCAGATATGTTATATCCTAATGCAGTTGGATATTTCTTCAAGACATCTAAAAGTTTCTTTGTTTCTATAGTTCCTAAACTGGAATTTACTATAACTGGTCTTTTACATTCAACGTCTAAGAATTCGTACCTTAGGTTATGAGGTAAAGTTTTTAATCCTAATGTAGGTTTATCTTTACTTGGCATGGGATCCGGTGTAAGTGCTAAACTTTCGCTTAGACTATCATCCTGATACGGTTTTCGCCAATTATCATCTTCGAGAATTGGAGGGATTTGAATTTTCATTATTTCAGAATAAGTGGTCTCCTCCAGTTCCATTTCTCTTACACATTCGTCAATTACGTCCATTAGATAACATGTATCCTCTATAGCTGGTGATTGTAAGAATTGTGTTAAAACAAATTCGACTTTCTCTTCACCTACTTCAAAGGTTAGCTTTCCTCTTTTCACGTCTATTATAGCTCCGGCGGTAGCTAAGAACGGTCTTCCTAGTATGATAGGTGTAGTGGAGTCTTCAGAGATGTCCATGATTATAAAATCAGTAGGAATGTAGAATTGTCCTATACGCACTGGGACGTTTTCTAGTATGCCTACAGGATATTTAACAGAGCGATCGGCTAGTTGAACAGACATTTTAGTTGGTCTTAGGTCTCCCATGTCTAGCCTTTTGCAAATCGTTAAGGGCATAACACTGATACTGGCTCCTAAATCGCACAGAGCTTTGTCAATGACGAATTTTCCTATTACACAGGGTATAGAGAAACTTCCTGGATCTTTTAGCTTAGGAGGCATGTTATTCTGAATTATGGCGCTACACTCGGCAGTAAGTGTAACTGTTCCGTTATCCTCTATCTTTTTCTTATTGGATAAGATTTCTTTTAAAAACTTAGCATACGAGGGTATTTGAGTAATTGCTTCTGTAAACGGAATAGTAATATTCAACTGTTTCAGAAGTTCGAAAAATTTCTTAAATTGACCCGTCGTCTTGGAACTTATTAATCTTTGAGGGTACGGAATTGGTGGTTTATAGGGTGGTGGAGGCACATAAGGTTGTTCTTTCTCCACTACCTCTCGACTTTCATCTTTCTTTTCTTCTGGATCATTCACCACTTCAGTCGGTTTATCCGGTTTTTGGTACATGGCTGGATTGTCAAGTCTTGGATCGGTAGGTCCGTCAAGTTCCTTGCCACTTCTTAATATTACAGCGTTAGCATGTCCTTTCGGGTTAGGTTGAGGTTGTCCAGGGAATACTCCAGCTGGTGCAGCAGTAGGTGCTTGTTGTTGAGCTACTTGTGAAATCTGAGTTTCAAGCATTTTGTTATGTGTAGCTAATGCATCTACTTTGCTCACTAATTGTTTAATCTGCTCACTAGTGTGAATGTTTTGGTTTAAGAAGTCCTTGTTTGTCTGAGATTGGCTAGCTATAAAGCTCTCCATCATCAATTCAAGGTTCGATTTTCTAGGGATATTAGGAGCAGTCTTTTGATATCCTGGTGATGTAGCTGGTGCTTGACCTGGTGCGTAATAAGCATTGTTATTCTTATAGGAGAAGTTCGGGTGATTCTTCCAACCTGGGTTGTATGTGTTTGAGTAAGGGTTTCCTTGAGCATAATTCACTTGATCAGTGGGAGTTCCTGTCAATAGTTGACAATCAGAAACTTCGTGTCCTGGGACTCCACATAACTCACAGTTAGGTGTTACTGCAGCCACGGTGGCTGCAGGTGTTATGGCCAAGTTATCGATCTTTTGGCTTAGTTGGTCAAACTTCGCATTGACTCGGTCCATACTACTTACTTCGTACATACCTCCTTTTGTTGGTTTCTCAGTTGCGACTCTCTCGCTTCCCCAAAGGTAATGATTTTGAGCCATACTTTCGATAAGTGCATAGGCATCTCGATATTCTTTGTCCATCAATGCACCACCCGCGGAAGCGTCAATTGTCATTCTTGTATTGTACAAGAGTCCATTATAGAAGGTATGGATGACCATCCAGTCTATTAATCCATGATGTGGACAAAGTCTAAGTAGATCCTTATAGCGTTCCCAAGCTTCGAATAATGATTCACTTTCTCTTTGCTTAAATCCGTTGATCTGAGCTCTCAGCATAGCGGTCTTGCTAGGTGGAAAATACCTATTCAAGAAAACTTTCTTAAGTTCTGCCCACGTAGTTACTGAGTTCGAAGGCAGAGATTGAAGCCAAGCTCTTGCTCTGTCTCGAAGCGAAAAAGGAAATAAACGTAGTCTAATAGCTTCTTGGGTAACTCCATTGGCTTTTACGGTATCTGCATATTGCACAAAGATCGAAAGATGAAGATTCGGATCCTCGGTAGGATTTCTGGCGAATTGATTTTGTTGCACGGCTGATATCAACGAAGGTTTTAGTTCGAAATCATTTCGGTTGATAGCCGGTGCTGCAATGCTTGAATGTGGTTCACCTTGCGAAGGATTAGCGTAATACTTGAGTGGATGAGTTTGTTCTTCAGCCATCCCTGCGTCTTCTGATTTTACGACTGGTTCAGGCGGATCTAATTGAAGATCTGGAATATTGGAATTATTTTCGAAATCGAATATACGTCTTCTTACGTGTAAGAAGCGTTCCGATTCAGGGATTAGAGGTTGCAAGTCTTCGCTTTTAGAGCGAGTACTTGGCATACACTCGGAGATTAGATTAAATTAAATAGTTGATACCTTAGTCTAGACAATGCTACCTAAGTGCACTAGTAACTAAATTAAGGAATCCCCGGCAACGACGCCAAAAACTTGATGGGCTAAAGACGTGTCTACTTATGCGTCTAGCGGTATCTTACTGCAAGTGCACAGCCTATCGAAGTAATATTTAAGATTATCGATCCACAGGGATTCTACTGTTACTTAGTGCTAGATGAACTTCTAGTTTAGCTAAGGCGAATGGTTGTCACGATTGTTGTTGGTTTTTAAGACTATTAAAGGCGGAAGTAAATTTAAGTTTTAATAAAATAATACTAAGGCGGTCGGTATGTAATTGTACTAACTTAGGTGGGTCAATCTAACCTAGGCTTATAAAGATGTTCACTTAATCTATTCGGTAGAGATTACTAGTATAAATACCCTCAACTCACACTCTCGTGGTCTTGTATCAGATCTTATCCCTAAATCCCTATGCCTGCTCTCGCTAGCCCATAAGTGTTTAGAGGTAATTTTTGGAGACTAAATAATTCTAATTTATCTTAAAGCGCTCTCGCTGTGTTTAATTTAAATGCCTAACTTTAGCTATCTGGTTAAATCTCACACTCTCGTGGTCTTGACCCAACCTAATACCCTTTTCTTACTCTCGTAACGAAAAGGTCTATTTTAATTAAAAAGTATCAGCCAGAATGTTAAGTGATTAATTATTTTAGCCTATGGTTATATTTTACCGGTTAAGTTTGTTATAACTACATACCGCCCTAAGGTATTTAGCTACTCATCGAGGTTGAATCAGACACATGGTTAAATAATAGCTTACTCATGGCAGAAAAATAAATAGACATTATAATTAAATTAAAGTGCAATAAATTGAAAAACCTGATTAACAAAAATCTGAGTAGACTCCTTCTTCCACAGACCGGAAGGCTTGGAGTAGGCGGAAATAAAAATTAAAACGAATGCTGAAGGTTGGAAACAAATAAAAGTGTAACAATTCCCTAATGTTGGAAATTGTTACACGGTTGGTTTGGATACAAATAAAACAAGACAGAAAATAAAATAATGCTGGAATAAAAATTCTGGTTCGTAAGGTAATTCGGCAGAGCTTCCGCAGGAAATTTGGATAATGAAGTCTCTCCCTGAGTTCTCTTCCGCTGGTACTATTTATAGAGCCTTTGATGGGCTGGTGTCTTGGTCTTTTGTTTCTTGGGCTTTGCTGAAGTGGTTGAGGAAATGTTGGAATGTGGCAGCAAAAATGGGAGAAGTCGTCTTCATGTGCTGCCTTGAGGAGAATTACTAGGAGAAGTGGTCTTCAGTGGTGGCTTGACGTAGTCTGAGTCAAAACCAAGTTTTATCCTTGTCACGGGCGTGACAAGGGCTTCACGTTCGTTATTTGAGGATTTTAAGTGTCACGGTCGTGACTACTTCCTCACGGTCGTGATGGCCCAAATTTGGGTGTCACGGTCGTGACACCCTTGTAACGACCGTGGCTGTAACAAATTATGCAGACTTTTTGCAGGCTTCTGCCTTTCTTCATTTTCTTGTGGTTTCTTTCGTTCCTTTCTTCTTAATTCATGATTCGGCCTCACATAACGATGTACCTGCAAAATAGTAAGAAAAACTCGAGAAATCGAGCGTTAAAACGGTGAATGCGCGATAAAACGTCAATGAAATCTAGCGATATAATCGATGCGTTTTCTCGTCATCACCTAACATTTGCTGATGATCTTCTGTTATTCTCAAGAGGTGATCAAGGCTCCATGGAGATTCTGCAGCGCACTATCAAAAGCTTTTTGGATTCAACAGGTATGAAAATTAATCCTTCAAAAAGTAAGGTGTATTTTGGTAGTGTTCCAGATTCTGTTAAGAACCTGATTCTGCAGTTGACTTCTTATAAGGAGGGGACCTTCCCCTTTAGATATCTTGGAGTCCCAGTGACTAGTAAGAAGTTGTCTGTTGTTCATTATATGTCGTTGGTGGATAAATTAGTGAGTAGGATAACTCATTGGAGCTCTAAGCTTCTTAGTTATGCTGGAAGACTACAGTTGATTAAAAGTGTGTTGTTTGCTATTACTTCTTACTGGATGCAGTATATTTGGTTCCCTAAAGCTGTGATTAGCAAAATCAATGCCATTTGTAGATCGTTTCTCTGGACAGGTGGTAGCACTATCAGTAGGAAGAGTCCAATTGCCTGAGACAAGGTGTGCAAACCTACTATTAAAGGGGGTATGAATGTGTTAGATTTAGAGGTTTGGAATAGCATGTTTATGATGAAATTACTCTGGAATATTTGCAAGAAAACTGATGATTTATGGGTTCGGTGGATACACGCCTATTACTTGAAAAAAGAGGACATGACGCATAGAGTGGTTAAGGGATCAGACTCGACTATTTTTAAAACTATTCTTCTGCAGAGGGATAACATAAGGAACATGCAGATTGTTTGGAATGAGATGGTGCAATCAGGGAGATTCAATGGTAGGAAAATGTATGTGAACTTGTTGCCTGCCACACCAAATGTTGTTTGGGCCAAGTTAATTCTCCATAATAGAGCACGACCTCGCGCAATCTATACACTATGGATGATCTGTCATGGGAATTTAGCTATAAAAACTAGACTGTATCGGTTTGGTATGGTGAATAACAATCAATGTGTTTTTTGTTCTGAGGTGGAAACCATTGACCAGCTATTTTTTGAGTGTTCTATTTTGAGGAAGGTCTGGGTTGAAACGCTTCATTGGATTGGTATCCAACACACTCCTGGAAGTTGGAATGAGGAGAACAATTGGATTCTGAATTGCTATGGAGGTAAAGGTTGAAAATCTGAACTTGTTAGATTAGCTCTGACAGAAACATTGCATGAGCTGTGGCTCTTTAGAAATGACTCTTGTTTTAATCAAAGAGATGACAATAGGAATTGTATAGATAGAATTATTAACAACATAGTTTATAGAGGGTGGTCGAGTCCTAAGCTTAGACCACACATAGCTTTTTTGATGGTTCAGTAAGTTTAGGTTTGTTTCCTTGGTGTGGCTGGATCTTTGATCGCCTTGTCGTGTTTTGGTTTTGGATTAATGAAATTTTTTTGATTAAAAAAAAATAATTTATTTTTTGTATGGGTTTCTGTGCAAGATCAGTTTATCTTATTGTAATATACGGTGTATTATGGTGTATGTGAAAATGGTGTAGAAATATATGTTTGGAATAGGATGAATTATTAACTCTATCATGTGTCTGTCAGTTCAGTATCCAAATAATTTCTTTAAATATGTAAAATTCAGTTCACTATCCAAATAATTTCTTTAAATATGTAAAATACAAACGGTAGGAAAATCCTATAAAAGTTTTACATGAAAATAGCATAGTTGTACCAATTACTTTTTTTAATACCAAAACTAAAATTATATTTCCATTTCCGTGTTGTAAAGCGTGGTTTCATTTTTTTCTCAATTATTCAGTAAGTTTTTCTACGTCATTGAACCCATTATTGACCAGTAGAAAAAAACAAAAGTTTCCTTAAATAATCAACCTGTGAGAAAATACAAAATTTATTTTCCATCCATTTTGATATAAGGTTGTATACGATGTAATAAATGGTCAGAAAATTAATATATTAATTATATATGTTAATTACGTCACCAAGCAGTAACTGAGTAACATAAAATCGGCATATAAATACATGGCTTCTCATAATAATTTTATATTGATATCATTTGCTCAATAATAAGGCTTGGTTCAAAAATTCTAGTCATGGCTTTTTGAAAGAGTGATGGGGCTACCTTAAACTCAATAAGCTCAGTGGATTAGAAAGAAGAAAAAAAAGCATAATAAGAGTACAAAAAATGATTAAAAAAGCAGAACCAATCAATATTAAGGGCATCCACACTCATCAACCACATTTTGGTTCTTTAAATGGGACCCACATAATTTTTTATATTATATTACACTTCTATATTTTCTAAGAGCATAATTATCGGTAGATGTAAACCATTTCTACACATATTCCAAAGTCATCATGTCAGAATTAAATGGATAAAAAAACGTTCCTACATTTGCATACGTTTTCACATTTGAGAATGTTTCTTTCCTTTACTTTCCTATTCAATTAATATTAAAATATTATATTTCAAAGGTCAATAATTATATGGACATTTATTTTGAAAATTGGTGGGACCCATTTTAGAATTTTTAATGAGTTGTATGGATATTTGAAATATGTAGTTGAGTTGTTTAGAAAATATAGAAGTGAAATATAATATAAAAAATTATGTGGGTCCCGTTTAAAGAACCAAAATGTGTACAAAAAATGATTAAAAAAGCAGAACCAATCAATATTAAGTGGACTAAAAAGTTAAAAAAAAGTATAATCAATCAATATTAAATGTTCTCGAAAGTAGAAAAAAGCATCATCAATCAATAATAAACCTAGAAAAAAGTACAATCAATCAATAATAAACCTACTAGAAATTAGGAAAAAGTATAATCAATCAATATTAAGCGTACTAAAAAGCAGAAAAAAAAATATAATCAAACAATTGTGAGAGTACACAAAATGATTAAAAAAGCATAATCAATCAATATTAAGCGTACTAAAAAGCAGAAGAAAAAAATATAATCAAACAATAGTGAGAGTATTGAAAATGATTAAAAAAGCATAATCAATTAATATTAAGAGTACTATTAGAAAGTAGAATACCTTGTGGCCAGCAGCAATTACTAATAGTTGCCCATCTTCTGCATGCTTCTTGCCACCCGAAACAGGAGCTTCAAGGAAATCACCGCCTTTTGCTTTGATTGCCTGAACAGAGAAGAAGGTTTTTCAGTTGCAATTCATATGTAAGGTCTTTTGAAAAGTCGATTATCATAGCATTGCTAGGAAAATATAGTTACTACTGAGAACCTTTTGGTTCATATATACACAATATTTTTTGTTTCCTTTTTAACAAAATATCATACATTCAGCAACTGCAGAGTATACCAACCTCGGATATCTTAATAGATGTCTCGGCATCAATTGTCGACATGTCAATATAACCTTTTCCATTAATTTGCTCAAGAACACCATCCTTATCAAACACAACCTAAAAAATCCATCCAAAAGGAATTTCAATATAAGAAACTTAAATAGATTTTATCTCAAAAGACAAATTTCACATCCACCGACCTATAAATCAACTAAAGGATCAGATAACATTGCTATTGTATACTTGCATTTCTTAACAACAGCAGCACCATGCTTCACAAGTTCTTCACACTACAATTAGATCCAACAAAAGTACATAAAATTATAAGCAATCTTGAATAACAGAAGCAGAAAGTGACTAGGTTTTAGGTACCTTGGAGAGGGTTCTGTTCCAAACAGTGACTTTGAAGCCATGGCGTAGAAGGTTAATTGACATAGCTTTGACAACTTGATTGTGGAACTATTGTCAAACATGATGATTGTACCTTGGCTTTGAGTCTCACCAAGCTTGTCAAGAATGCTTCGAAGCCACACTACTTGGCAAGCACACGAGGCTGTTGTAACAAACTCAGCTTCAATGCTTGAAAGAGTCACAACGAGTTGCTTCTTTGAAGACCAGTAGTGCTTTTTCCGTCATCATCATTTCATGCATAATCAGAGTCTGACCACCCTTGCAAGACCATCTCATCATTCATCTTCTACAAAACTCTCAGGTTCATAGTTCATTTTAGACACCTTAGGATTCTTTTTGTAGCTTTCAGGTCAACTTCAATTGGTCCCTACGTGTATCTAGCATACTGAATAGACAAGGTCTGCCCTGGTAGCAAGCAAATACATCAAGCTTCCCACCATCTTATTGTAGCTTTTGACATCAAATTTCGTGCCATTTTCATCCCCATTCAACCTGCAAACTACCACAATAGGATTACAAACCTTATTGCATTGATCCATGTCAAATCTTGTGAGCATTTCATTTGCATATTTCTGTTGCCGAATGAAGATTCCTGCACTTTCTTGCTTTACTTCCACCCCAAGAAAGTATCACATCTTCCATATATCTGTCATGGCAAGCATCTTCCTCATAAAAAAAGTATAATCAATCAATAATAAACCTACTAGAAATTAGGAAAAAGTATAATCAATCAATATTAAGTGTACTAAAAAGCAGAAAAAAAATATAATCAAATGATAGTGATAGTACACAAAATGATTAAAAAAGCATAATCAATCAATATTAAGCGTACTAAAAAGCAGGAAAAAAAATATAATCAAACAATAGTGAGAGTACTGAAAATGATTTAAAAAGCATAATAAATTAATATTGATTACAAACCTTATTGCATTGATCCATGTCAAATCTTGTGAGCATTTCATTTGCATATTTCTGTTGCCGAATGAAGATTCCTGCACTTTCTTGCTTTACTTCCACCCTAAGAAAGTATCACATCTTCCATATATCTGTCATGGCAAGCATCTTCCTCATAAAAAAGTATAATCAATCAATAATAAACCTACTAGAAATTAGGAAAAAGTATAATCAATCAATATTAAGCGTACTAAAAAGCAGAAAAAAATATAATCAAATGATAGTGATAGTACACAAAATGATTAAAAAAGCATAATCAATCAATATTAAGCGTACTAAAAAGCAGGAAAAAAATATAATCAAACAATAGTGAGAGTACTGAAAATGATTTAAAAAGATTAATAAATTAATATTAAGAGTATTATTAGAAAGTAGAAGAAAAACATAATCAATCAATATTAAAGTACTAAAAAGTAGGGGGAAAATATAAACAATCAACTATTTATGAATATCTCAAATAATAAAGATGATTTGATTTGTAAGCTTAAATTTGATTGCATAAGTTAGTTGTTTCAATCAAAATACACTTAAAAGTGTTAAATTATGATGACATGAACAAATAAGTTTAAAATAATATTTGAAGAGTAAAAATAAGGTCATGCTTTTAAGAACATTGCTACATATCTGGGAAAACATCAGACGCATTTGAAAAAACATCAGACATAAAGTCGTATCTGGAAGAACATCAGATAGACACAAAAGAGGTTTCTGAAGACATATTAGAAGCAAAGACTCAATCTGAAAAAACATCAGAAGAGAAAAGTAATATCTGGAAGAACATTAGATACGCACAAGGGGGATTCTGAAAAAACATCAGAAGAAAAAGACACATCTGCAAAAACATCAGACGACAAAAGAGGTGAAAT